GAGGGAGAGAGGGTGGGGGAGAGAGGGGGAAGAGAAAGGGGAAGGAGGGAGAGACAGATAGAGAAAGTGACATAGACAGAGGGGGATAAAGGAAGAATGATAAAGAAAAACGGACAGATACTAAGACAGACAGAGAAAGAGAAGAAATAATAAGAGGCAGAGAGAGAGAGAGAGAGAGAGAGAGAGAGAGAGAGAGAGGCAGAGAGAGAAAGACAGACAGAAAGAGTGAAGCAGCAAGAGAGAGGAAGAGTCGGGAGACAGAATTAGGAGGAGGTGAAAGCGAGTGAGAGAGGCGAGAGAGAAGGAGGCAGACAGGACAATGTGCACTCATACATACATAAATCAGCGAAGTAAGAATGAAAAGAGTGTTCATGCGGCCATTGCTTCGGTAATGACATCATCCTAGACGGTCAGATAGCATAAGAACGTATAGCCATCATCTGTATTTAGGTGCTGTGTGCTTGCACGTGCTCGCACGCGCGCGCGCCTGCTTGTGCGTATGTGTGTTGTTATTTTGTGTGAGCGTGTGCTTGCGTGTGTGTTGTCGTTTCGTGTGAGCGTGTGTGCTTGCGTGTGTGTATGCTGTTGTGTTGAGTGTGTGAGTGGGGGGGGGGGATCCACATAATAATGTACAGTAACATACTGTGCTCTCTCGGTTAGGGCTGGATCCTGCTCGCCAAATTTGAGAGTGGCGATTCACGATTCAGTCGGCTTCAAAGAATCGCGAGTACGCGAGCGCTCGTGGAGCTGTGGCGGAACACTGACTGAAATGGAACAGGGTCATATCAACGCCATTTGGCGAGCGCGAGTCCCACTCTTGTTGTTCCGCCACCATTTTGTATTATTATTGTTATTATTAATACATCATCATCATCATCATCATCATCATCATCATCATCATCATCATCATCATCATCATCATCATCATCATCATCATCATTATCTGATCATCATCAATTCGTTTTTAACGTTGTTTTTTCCTTTTACCATTTCGACAGAGGCGCCACTAGGTGCAGATTTCCCAGCTCGTGCCGGCAGCCACCGAGCCTCGTGAGCGCGTACAGGGGACTGGACGGGGGAAGTGGAGGATCCTTGGTTCACCTGTTGGAGGAAAAAAAAATTATTTTAAAAAAATAAAAAATAGTTACATTTTTATTGACCCCTGAAAGGCAATTTGATTAACCATGGCAAAGATACAACATACATACATACATACAAACATAAGTAATTAAACAATGTATACATACATAAATACATACACGACATGTGCATACATAAATGCACAATATTGCACCAATAGAGAACAATTCCACAACCATGCTATCGCTAGTTTAGTTAGCTTTAGTAAGAGTTTTACGGCACCTGCAACACTGTCAGGTTATTTAAGTGCCGAAGATTAGAAGAGTTACTAGAGTTACAAACAAAATGTAAATAAACCAAACACAAGAAAAAGGAGGAGAGATCAAAACGATTGATGTTTGATAAGAAAGATGGAGCAAACCACACCAGAGTACCCTCCAACAACCCGCTTGTTGTTTTTGTTTTTGTAAAGTGTTTTACGGCGCTCGCAACTGCATAAGGTCATATGAGCGCGCGGGACACACCTAATATTTTCAATTGGTAGGAAATTTTGAATTTTGCCCGGGTGGCGGCCGAAGCCTACTCTTATCGATTTTAGACCACAAAGGGATCTTTAACGTGCGCAACTTGCACACGGGACCCGCTTGTTTGAGTAAAGAGAAGCAGCACATCGACACAATAACGGTTAAACACAGAGCAGGGAAGAAGCAAGACAGACAGACAGACAGACAGAAACAACAGAGGGGAAGAAAAGAAGTAGGACCTTCCAGTGGCGCCCTCCCACTACCAGCTGCTGGGACGTAAAGAGGGAAATAAAACTCGGTATTATTGGTCACTAACAAAACTTTGTATAGTTTTTACTTTAGCTTGATTTCTTAAAGCACATCGGCAATAGGTCCAGAGTTAGAAACCTAACAGCGACGGACAATTTTCTTCTCGAAAATGTGAGGCAGCGTGGTGGAATCAGGCTCTCGTCAATTTTGGAGCATGTAGAGTTATTGGTATCATCTTAAAGCTTGGTCACCTGTCTTTATTTGAGTGGAAAAAATATCCATTATCTTGAATACAAATCGAGATATTTGCGAAAGAAGGAGGTGGCGGTCACCTGTTTTCAGAGGTAAATTTAGTAAGAAAATAACTGCAAAGATTAGTTATTTCCTTAGCTTAAGAGTCCGTGGTAACTGTGCCTTTAATCAACGTTTTCAGAAAAATCCACTCAGAAATGAGTTCTTTAATGGGCATGAAAGGTGTTGAGCCAAAAAACCAAAATTTGATAAAAAATTCACAAACCTGCAGAAAAATGCAAGTTTCTTCACTTTGATTATTTTGACGAGAGCCTGATTCCACCACGCTGCCTCACAATTTTAGGGTAGCTAAGTTGCACCTAACTGTGTGAGCTTACGTGGTTAGTGAAGATGTCCATTTCCTCTGGCAGGAGCCAGGTGTCCGGCATGAAGTTGTAGTCCTCGGGGAACACGGACTGCATCAGGAGGAGCCATCGGAACAGGTGGATCTTTTCACAAACTAAGTTGGAACCTGACATGGATGAACACAATGCTATCATAATCATTAACTGTTTAATCCCCTCCTCCTCCTCCTCCTCCTCCTCCTCCGCTTTTTAACCAAGGTTGACCCTGGGTGAGTAAAAAAACGTCCTTGTACAGTCCTGACTCTACTCCACCCCCCCCCCCCCCCCTCAGCCCTATTTTTAAAACAGAAACAAAACAGAGAAGATACACCAAACAAAATGTCTATACACTGTCAGGTCATGACACATCAGAGCGGAAATTCAATCGTTGGCCAGTGTTAAAGACCCAACACTTAGATAGGAAAAACTTATGGAGGTTTCGTATTCCGTGCTATTGGTTGCATCTGCTCAAGAAACATTTTGTAGATATTCAAATTCCTAATGTTGAACTTAGCAAGAAAAAATATGTAGTTTAGACAGGGGTTTTTTTTCGTGTTTTTTTTTTTTTTTTTCCTTAGGAATTTTGCTCTCGAGGCTTAATGCATTTTAACATCTTGTCGACGAAATGCACCATTTACTGATCGAGGGAGGGTCTATGAGAAATGGACATACTTACTACCAACTTCCCAGCACCACTTACACTCTCTTGCAAATGAACACACACACACACACATAATATATTAATATGTGAGGCAGCGTGGTGGAATCAGACTCTCGTCAATTTTAGGGCAAGTAGAGGTATTGGTATCACCTTATAGCTTGTTCACTTGTCTTTATTTGGATGGAAAAAAACATCCATTTATCTTGAATACAAGTCGAGATATTTGCGAATGAAGAAGGTGGGGTCACGTTTTCAGAGGTAAAATTAATGAGAAAATGGCCGTCGAAGATGAGTAATTTCCAGAGCTTAAGAGTCCGTGATAACTGAAAATTTTTAATTTTTTGTGCCTTTAATCAACGTTTTTCAGAAAAATCCACTCAGAAATCAGTTCTTTAATGGGTACGAAAGGTGTTAAGCCAAAAAACAAAACAAAAAAGTATTAGAATCCACAAACCTACGGAAAAATGCAAGTTTCTTCACTTTGATTATTTTGATGAGAGCCTGATTCCACCACGCTGCCTCACATATAATAATAATATACATTCACACATATACTCTCAAAAACACGTATGCACATCCAAACAAATAAAAAACAAACACATATGCACAAACTCACAAGCAAATACACACACACACACACACACACACACACACACACACACACACACACACACATACATAAACTCAAGCAAAAGAAAAAGGGAGTGTATACAGACCCGGTAACCGGGAACAAAGTCACAAAGTATACAGACCCGGTAGGGGAACTCTTTTGTGATTTCGGAAAGTTTCAGCGCCCTCTTGGCTCAGGGAAGACCTAGGTTCTTCTAGATCTATGGCCTAGGTCTAGATCTAGACAGACAGACATATATCATTGATCTAGTTTCGAGGCAAGCCTAGATCTAGATCTAAATGAAGATTGCGGATGTCTTTTCGAAGAACGATCGTTTTCCCTCCGTTTTGGAGTTGGAGGAATCACTATTTAATTTGAAGAAAAGAAAAATGCAATATTTCAATCGAGCAGTGACCCTCTCTATTTCTCTGCCTCTCTCTCTCTCCTCTGTGTATCGCTCGCCTTCCCCTATCTTTGTCTCGTTCCCTCCTGCCAACTGGGGCATGTCATATATATACATTTTGCTAGCACTTCTCTCTCTCTCTCTCTCTCTCTCTCTCTCTCTCTCTCTCTCTCTCTCTCTCTCTCTCTCTCTCTCTCTCTCTCTCTCTCGCTCTCTCTCTCTCGCTCTTTCTCTTTCTCACACACACGCACACACACACACACACACACACACGCACACACACACACACACACACACACACACACACACACACACACACACACACACATACACACTACGGGGTCTGGGCGCTGAAACTTCCCGAAATCACAAAAGAGTTCCCCTACCAGGTCTGTATACTTCGTGACTTTATTCCCGGTTACCGGGTCTGTATACTTCGTGACTTTATTCCCGGTTACCGGGTCTGTATACTTCGTGACTGTATTCCCGGTTACCGGGTCTGTATACTTCGTGACTTTATTCCCGGTTACCGGGTCTGTATACTTCGTGACTGTATTCCCGGTTACCGGGTCTGTATACTTCGTGACTTTATTCCCGGTTACCGGGTCTGTATAAACTTCGAAAGAAAAAAACTAGAAATGAGAGAAAAAAAAATCGAACCCAACCTTCAAAAAAATTATAAAATCCACTAAAAATACTTTATTATAATAAAGGCTTGTCCATCAATGTCTGACGATGACCAGCACATCTTCAGAGGAGAATATTTCTAAAGCGAAATACCCGAAGATGATATGTGAAGCGTTCTGACAAAATGAGTTACTTCTCGCAATCCACGAAGGTAGACATTGGCAAAAAATCAACACTAAGGTCAAATTAGTAGATTTTCTATTGATGCCCTATTATTTATTTTATAACACGCCTATTTTTTCATACTTATAAATTATAAAAACTGTACCTATAAGCATAAAGTATGTATAAAGGCTTGAATCCGAGAAGTAACTCATTTTGACAGCACATTTCACATATAAGGGTTAGAATGATTTGTGGTTTTGCTATATGGCCATTCAGACCAATTCTAACAGAGGAGATAAGTATTGCTTCATTTCTAAAGGTGGCTTTGCGCACTGCAGACTTCCCTCTTGACTTCAGCATATTATTTCCTTTTTCATGACGCCAAGTATCACTTGCTGTGTTGTGTGATTGCTGCTTTCCAGGTGCTGTAAAAAGTAAGGCTCTTCCATGTTCAGGGATTAATGTTGCAGACTTTTGGAGACATTTCCAAAGTTTCTTTAAAGTGCTGTTTTTGGTAGCCAACTCTTTTTTCCGCTTTCTTTAAGGGCAGCTTGGAATAGACTGTCACCTTTGGGATTCTAAAACCCATAATTTGTAATCACGCTATTATTTCACGTAGGTATCCTAGTAAGAAAAATTGAAAGATTTACTGTGGATTTGAGCATTTTCACTTTGTCGAGAACAGAACCGAATAACAAGTAATTAATGACGTCACTACGCACCAGGAAAATCGTTCACTTGACCTGACTTGATCTTTGCATCAAACTCATACGGAAACCAGGTGATGTCACACGCGTGGTCTTTTGGTCTGGTCTTCACCTGGAAAATAATCATAGCCAGTATTACAATAACAGCAACCCCCAAATGTGCTTTCAAAACAACAGAAACTGTGCTCATCATAATAACAATAACAACAAGAACGTTATATTGATAACAACAACGACGATAACAACAACAAGGATAACAACAACAACGATCAACGATAACAACAAAACAACAACAGCAACAACAACAACACAAACAACAAAAACAACATTAGTGAAGCTTTAAGGAGGAAGAGGTAATAAAATGAAGGAGACACAGAAAATTATTTTCTAGGCTACAGCTCTACTCCCCTTCCCTCCTACGCTCCACAAGTCACGTGCACTTACTTCCTTCCAGCCCATCTGAGGAATCACCACAGCCAGAATCTCTTCACAAAAGGCGTCCGCGTCACTGGTGTCCACTGTCAGCACTCTGCCGGACACTGGCTTCTCCGGACGCCCGCTCTGTCCAGGCAAGCTGGCCCTGTCAGCCAGTAGATGGATGTCACACTCGGAGCACTTTGACACCATCTCCATCTTGACTAGTTTCTGTAAGCTGTTAAGTAAAAAAAAAAACACGTCTCTATGTTTAGAATTCAGAAGTGCTTATATCGGCTACGTATAGGGGCTTCATAACATATGGCCCCTATAAGCAAACCACCCCACCCTTCCTTTCCAATTAACAAGAATGGGACTTGCAACCGTAAGGTTGTGAGTTCGAATCCGGTCAGGGGCACAGCGGTGTGTCCTTGGGATTTTCTACACGAAATGTCCTCACTTCACCCTGATGGGAATGGGTATCCGGCAATAGACAGGGGAAAATCTTGTAAGTTTTTAGCTTTTGAGTGCATACAATCAGCAGTTTGCACTGCATGCTTCCGGGGAAGCCGATAATGTTCCTGATTGTCTGAAGGGTAAGTTGTAACACGCATAGCACATGCTGTAGAGCAAGGATAAGCGCTATATGAATGCAATTATTACTATAAAGGTTGGTTGGGGAGGGAGGGTTGATATTATTTTTTCCCCAGTCCTTGACGAAATTGAAAGGTCGGTGAGAATATGACAAAACAACAAAAAGGAGCAACAAGTCAAAAATAACGTTCGTACTTTGCTCAACCCTTTTGAATTGTGCTGCACACATTAAGAAAAATGCTGTGCCAGGAAAGGACTTACGATCTATTGAATTGACGCTTTAGTGTGCGGACGTGGGTGCAGGAGAATCTTTGGAAAGAAAGCATTATTACTCAGTTTTGTAACAGTTGCCATTTCATAATCTTCTATGGATCTTTTATGTAGAAATTGTTACGTCCTCATCCACACAATCTAGGTCACTTAGGATTATGAGTAAAGCTTCGACCCAGCATCCCAGGGCCAACCCGGGCTGAGAGGGATATTATAAGGTTCCAGCAGAAAGGTCAAGATACCCTATGAACATTCTCCACACAGAGAAATCCAACTCCAGTTTGCTGCGTGCGATGGCTGAACACCTGGCCGCCACGTCACAGACTCTGGAGCGCTGAGATAAATCCGTTGCAAACAAGTGAGAAGGATTATAAGGAAATTGAATTTGAGGGATCATTGGTTCAGTCAATCGTTTTTGCTTTTTGAGGGATCATTGGTTCAGTCAATCGTTTTTGCTTTTTGAGGGATCATTGGTTCAGTCAATCGTTTTTGCTTTTTGAGGGATCATTGGTTCAGTCAATCGTTTTTGCTTTTTGAGGGATCATTGGTTCAGTCAATCGTTTTTGCTTTTTGAGGGATCATTGGTTCAGTCAATCGTTTTTGCTTTTTGAGGGATCATTGGTTCAGTCAATCGTTTTTGCTATTTGAGGGATCATTGGTTCAGTCAATCGTTTTTGCTTTTTATTAGTTCTTTGAGAGTAAAGTCTCACCCTTTATTTGAGGGATCATTGGTTCAGTCAATCGTTTTTGCTTTTTATTAGTTCTTTGAGAGTAAAGTCTCACCCTTTATTTCGTTCCTCCTTTCATTCTGTCTGTGCTAAGTTAGTTTCGTTTAAGTTAAAGTAGTAAGTTTGTTTTTTAGTAAGAGTTTTATGGCACTTGCGAAACAAATTAGGTAATGTAAGTGCCAAGATCACTAGGTGGTACTACAGAGTAATATGCAAAGAACCAAGGAGGAAAAGGTAAGTTTGTACTTTTAGCAAAAGTAAAAGTTTACTGCACTTGAAACACAAATAGGTCATAATATGTGAGGCAGCGTGGTGGAATCAGGCTCTCGTCAATTTTGGGGCACATAGAATTATTGGTATAATCTTAAAGCTTGTTCACTTGCCTTTATTTGGATGAAAAAAATATCTGTTTATCTTTAATACAAGTCGAAATATTTGAGAATGAAGGAGGTGGGGGTCACCTGTTTTCAGAGGTAAAATTAGTGAGAAAATGGCTGCCAAAGATTAGTTATTTCCTTAGTTTTATAGTCCATGGTAACTGAACATTTACATATTTTGAGCAATTAATCGACTTTTTCAGAAAAGTCCACACAGACATGAGTTCTTTAATGGGCTTGAAAGGTGTTGAGCCCAAAAACAAAAATCTGATAAAAAGTCACAAACCTGCAGAAAAATGCAAGTTTCTTCATTTTGATTATTTTGACGAGAGCCTGATTCCACCACGCTGCCTCACATATAGGTGTCGAATATCAGACGTTTTACTTGCGAGTAACATACAAAGAAAAGAAGGAAGAGAGATTATTAGAAAGACAGATGCTTGAGCACACCACACCAGGGCACCCACCAATCTCCTGCGAGGAAAGATAAAGACACTGTATTATGATTGGAAAGATGGGAGCAAACCACACAAGAGTTCTCACCACTGAACACTTTCTAAGCGTATTTATTTCATTTTGGTATAGGAACGGGCAGGGCAAGAAGCGAAGGGTGGGGAGTGTTATGGTCCGTTTGAAAGCTTATTTTACAGGACAGTCTTTAAACTCCTGTCTGCAACGGAGCAGGATGACAAGAAGAACCTGCAGAGAATACTGCTGTCGTCATTTTCAAAAGTACAGTATATGTGAGGCAGCGTGGTGGAATCAGGCTCTCATCAATTTTTGGGCACGTAGAGTTATTGGTATCATCTTAAAGCTTGTTCACTTGTTTTTATTTGTATGAAAACAATATCCATTTGTCTTGAATACAAGTCGAGATATTTGCGAATGAAGGAGGTGGGGGTCACCTGTTTTCATAAGTAACATTAGTGAGAAATGGCCGCCAAAGATAAGTCATTTCCTTAGCTTAAGAGTCCGTGGTAGCTGAACATTTATATTTTTTGTGCCTTTAATCGACGTTTTTCAGAAAAATCCACACAGAAATGAGTTCTTTAATGGGCATGAAAGGTGTTGAGGCAAAAAACAAAATTTTATAAAAAATTCACAAACCTGCGGAAAAACGCCAGTTTCTTCACTTGGATTATTTTGACGAACGCCTGATTCCACCACGCTGCCTCACATATTATACTTTTTTTCTTTTTTTTTTTTACAGTTTTACAACAGAGCCAACAAATGAATATTGTTACCAAGGAAACAAACTCTTTGTAAAAATCCAAAGTCGATATTTCTAAAAGATACAGCTTTGATCATTAATTTCTTATTACCTTTGAAGTACATTTTCTTGGTAACAGCATTGAAATTTTTGTTTGTTTTTATGGCTTTTTCATAAAATGATAAATATTGCACAATATACTGTACTTGTGAAAATAACGGCAGCTTTGCTATATTTGTTTTAGTAAGAGGTTGATGGCACGTGCAAGATAATTAGGTCACATAAGTGTCAAAGATTCAACGTGCTAAAAAAGAATAACAAACTAAAACTAAAAAGACACAGGAGAGATTTGGACCATAGATGTTTGATAGAGAAGAAGGAACAAACCACCACAGAGCTCCCGCCAACCACCCACTGCCGAGAAGAGATATGTGAGGCAGCGCGGTGGAATCAGGCACTCGTCAATTTTTGGGCATGTGGAGCTATTTGAGTAATCCTAAAGCCTGTTCATTTGTCTATCTTTCTGGGGAAAAAGTACCCTTCTATCTTTAATAGAAGTCAAAATATTTGTTATTGAAGTAAGTAGGGTAACCTGATTTCTGAGGAAAAATAAGGGAGAAAATGACCGCCAAAGCTCGGTATCTTTGAATGCGTGAGAGTCCTTCCAAACTGAAAATTTACATTTTCTGTACCTTTAATCAACGTTTTTCAGGACAATATACAAAGAAATTTGTTTTTAAATGGACATAAAAATTGTTGAGCTTAAAAACAAAAATTTGAAAAAAAATTCCAAACGGGCAAAAAAATGCCAATATCTTTGATTTCATTATTTTGACGAGAGCCTGATTCCACCACGGTGCCTCACATATCTTCATGATCTACCTGCCACGAGCATAACACACAATCTTTGTGACGGAGTTTATTTACAATTCATTCTGCATAGCTCAGTGCAAGATTGTATTCAGTCCAGATTTCCAAGAACAGAGACATTTCAACCAGAGATCAGATACATTAACGCTGACACAACTATCACTCCCACTAGTAGCAGCAGCACCATCATCACCACTACAACTCATCATCATCATCATCATCATCCAGTGCCAGATCTGCGACAGACATCGGCGATCATGATTTTCCATTCATTCCTTTGCTCGGATGCTCTCAGAAAAGCTACGTTTCCCCAGTGGCGAAGTGTCTATATAATCAAATAATCACTGCTTCCCTTTCTGATTTTGAAACATTGTCGCTGTCAAATTCATCCTTAAACGTAAAC